CTCAAAAGATTTAATTGTTAGAGCTCATTCATGTTTGAACAGTAAATTTAATACAAACATTTTCTAATTTTTGCCATGTACCAAAGACACTTCCCGAGTGTTTTTCTGTGTTTTTTTTCCTAGTAATAATGTAATCCAGGTGGCTATCCTTTGAAGAATAAGATCTCTTACTAAGGACTGGTTCACACTAACCCCCCAGTTCGAACTAAGATACGCAACTTCAGCTACGTGAATAACGTAGCTGAAGTCGAAGTACCTTAGTTCGAACTACAAGGTACTTACCGCGGGTCCACACGCGGCAGGCAGGCTCCCCCGTCGACTCCGCATACTCCTCTCACGGAGCAGGAGTACCGGTGTCAACGGCAAGCACTTCCGGGATCGATTTATCGCGTCTTGTCTAGACGCGATAAATAGATCCCAGAAGATCGATTGCTTACCGCCGAACCCGGAGGTAAGTATAGACGTACCCTAAGAGTAGATGAACAGTTCACTGTCTCTGACTTCTACTAAGATTTAAAAACTCTGAGCCCTCCTGAAAAGCTATGGAAAGCATTATTTTTACAGTCAATTCTATTTATATTTCACCTGGTTTCTTTTATGTCTCTTCTCCGATTTCATTATAAAGGACAGGATTATTAAATTTTATTGGTCCCTGCTGCTTACTCCTCTCCTGAATTCACGAGGCCTGATCTGTATTTACACTAAGACCCCTTTACACATCCAGAATAGTGTAAAGGGGCTTTACAGTGAGTGTAACTTTAATTTACCTCCACTTAAATTCCCTTTATAGCACAAGAGCACTTAAAAAGGAGTCTAGTGTAAATAAGAATCAGGCCTATCACGTTATCTGTGACACTATCTTCAGCATAAATTGCAATGTCACAAACAGACCATGACTAAGTGAGGGACCAATCTGTTTAAGATCTGGCATGTTTTACCAAGCTTTTCTGCTGCAAACAACGCAACTGAGGCAACCTCCACTGGTCTGATCCCTATCATCCTTATAGCGGAGATCTAACAGGGATAAAGCAGTCAATCATAGCCTAATCTTTCCCACTAGAGCAGGCACCTAGGGAACTTAGTAAAAGAATAATTTTCAGAATCACTTCTCAAAGTAGAATTGTACTTCAGTAGATACGGGGGAGGAGAATTACAGGACAGAAGTTATTAGGGAGAGACGGTAGTCTCGTATAAATAGCTCTCTGATATCACCAGCTTTTTGTTTTAAACCTGATTTTGGCTTTCCCCTACCATCTCCAACTTGGCCAAAAATAAACTAATGCACCTATAATTTCTTGTGCATGCTTTTCTGCCAAAGGAAATGTTTCGGAACAATATATTCATAAGAGGAGATATTTTTTAAAATCAGAGATTTTTCACTCTTCGAAAAAAATGTCTAACTTCCTTTCCTATAATGCCAGATTTGGTTTATTTTGTCACTTCAACAAGTAGTACACTTGACTGTTCCTAGAATTTTTAGTAGGCTATATTTGGACTTACTCTCTAGTTTTCTAAACTAACTCCATGAGCCAAAAAAGACTTCAGGTTACCTGGATAGGACTCACCTGGGGCTTATACAATCCATAGCAGCAGAGAATCCTGCCAGATCCAGTCAATTAGCATTTATAAATGTAATAGGAGAAGAGAGCTTATAATTTCCAAGGGTGAAATAATGGCCCCACTGAAATCAATAGTAAAACTCCCTTCACTTAAGTAGGGTCAGGATTTCTTTATCCCAGTGCTCTGTGGAGTTCACGTATCTCTGACTTGCTGGGCTGAGAAAAATACAGTTGCTCAGTAGCCAGAGATAAATACAAGTGCTTTCTAGGTAAGTTAAAGGGTTAAATTTCCTGACCACTGGAAAGGTTCATCAAAGGAGAATGGGGATGGGCTGAGCATGGAATGAGGCACAGCAGTATTCAGATGACAATGGGAAGGGAGACAGGCCAGAACTGACCTGCCTCAGTTATACAGTGAGGAGAAGGACTGAATAGAGCAATAGAACTGGGCTGTTACCCAGAGGAAGGGGTAGAAAGAGGAGGGAAGGAGCAGAAAAATAGAACTAAGCAGTAGTCAGAGGGGGGGGACCTCGGTGATGACAACCACAGAAGCAATGTCTTTGCAGAATAAGAGATGGAACCATGCAAGGAATTCACTGCTATGCAAGCTTAATCAGAAGTCTGCAGAGACAGAGAGGGACAAGACTGGGGCTGGAGTTTCCAGCTACATTCAGGTAGTCAAAAGCTTCTCTCTCCCAAGGCTCCAACAGTTGCTTCCAACCAAGCAAGAGTAGGCTGCTGTAGCAATTTTAGAGCCTCACATAGTTTTAGCTATTAGAATTTTTACTTTAATTTGGGGGGAAAAAATAATTGTATGGTCCCCCAGCTATGACCTCAGTCTCAGACTGGTGCTGACCATAGTATTTTAGTTTATATTAAAGTGGGGACAAAACCCTCCACATAAAATCAAGTGAAATTAAAACACATTAAAATCAAGAGACTAAAAATGAGAAACCCCAGCAAAATAATCTAAGCAAAACAAAAAATCTTAGACAAACACAGCAAAATAAGCAACAAAATTTTGTTTTAAATTATTTGGGAGAATGAGACCATAGCGTGCAAATGGGGGCAACCGCATATCTCGTTGGACACCAGCTTGGACGCCTTAGCTGACTAGAAACAAGCAATCAGATTTTTCCATTCCCCGCCCGATCCTGTGCCCTCTCTGTAGGCCGATACCTGGAACAACAACTCTGGTGTTTCTGACCTCTGAAGGAACAAAATGAACAGAGCTGAAACTCTTGCAAAGTTTATAAGCCCTACGGTATGGGCCAGGATTCATAAATCATAAATCATAAAATATCAGAGTTGGAAGGGACCTCAAGAGGTCATCTAGTCCAACCCCCTGCTCAAA